CCAAGGTTGGTCTCTAGGTCCAAGGTATAACTGGAAAAGTACCTGCAGTGGGCTGAAGGCATGGCTATCATTTATTTGATACGTTCAGTTCACTCAGAGCCTTCTATGTTACATGTGCCTTATATCAAAGGAAAATAAAAATTGAATAAAACTGAATGCCTAGCCTCAAAAGATATTATAGTCTGGGAGTGGGGAAAAGACATGGTATAATAATTATAATAAAAGGTAGTTTGGGATGAATGAAATGAGAGGCATAATTTATTACAGGAATTCAGAAGAGGGAGACAGCAAAGTCAGCTGGAGGGATTGGTCAAAGGTTCATGAAAGATAGCATTTAAGTAAACCATGAAATATGACAAGAGAGATCAACAGGGAGAACTTTCCCAGTTGAAGGAATGATGTGAAGTAAGGAACAAAGTAGTGGAAAACTCAGGACATTGGCGGGAATAGAGAATATAATTTGGCTTATTTAGAACACACAGTACATACACAGGAGAGTTGAGAGTTATTTGGAAAGGACAGGTAGCAAGCAGTTATGAATACCCAGGCTAAGGAGTTTGGACTTTAATCGGAGATTAAAAAAAGCCATTAAAGGTGTGTGTCAATGAGAGAGAGAGAGAAAGAGAGCGAGAACAAAGACAGACGCGCGCGCACACACACACACACACACACACACACACACACACCGAGAGAAAGAAATATCACAGATAGATGAAAGCCATGTCCAGAGCTGTGATTAGATGAGACTGATATAGCTGTTTACTTATGTTCACACAGTGACTAGTATGAGCCAGACATGGGAACAGACGCTGGGAACTCTGGGCAAGCAATCATAGGATATAAACAGTTTACTTTCTTCTCTACTAGACATGTTTGGGAGGCTAAGAAAGCTTAAATAACATTCTTGTGCTTTCATTTTCCCACATATAAATAGGCCTATGATCACCGATCTAACAACAGAAAGAAAATGTCTATGTTTAATAGCAACCATATGAAAATATGAGAAGCAACTCCCAGCTTTCTTCTGATATCTAAGAAAACAGAAAAAGTTTCTAACATATCTCAGGGATTTTAAATATTTATTATTCAAGGGAGTGCTAGGTTGGATCTGTGGTGGTATCACATATATAATAATTAGTGTTAAGTGATGATAAATCCTTTATACTTCCTAAAGAGACACTATGGAGTTCCAAGATACTTGAAATAGCATTGACAATAAAAATTAGTTCTAGATACTGATATTTGATAAATGAGCCTTGGTTGATAAAGAATAGACCCATACTACCCAAAGCAATCTACAGATTCAATGCAATCCCTATCAAGATATCGGTGACATTCTTCATAGAAATAGAAAAAATAATCCAAAAATTCATATGGAACCACGGAGGACCCCAAACAGCAAAGTAATCCTTAGCAAAATGAACAAAGCTGGAGACATTGCACTGACTGACTTCAAAATATGCTACAAAGCTATAGTAACCCAAATAGCATGTTACTAGCATAAAAACAGACACATAGATCAATGGAACAAACAGAGCACCCAGAAATGAATCCATGCATTTATAGCCAAATGAAGTTCAACAAAGCTGCCAAAAGCATACAAATTGGGTGAATGGACAGTCTCTTCAATAAATGGTGATGAGAAAAATGGATATCCATATGCAAAAGAATGAAACTAGACACCCTATCTCTCACCATATACAAAAATCAGCTCAAAAGGAATTAAAGACTTAAAGACCCAAAACTAAAACTACTGGAAGAAAATATAGGGGAAACAATTCAGGACACTGGTCTGGGAAAAGATTTTTTGGGTAATACCTCAAAAGCACAGGCAATAAAAGCAAAAATAGACAAATGAAATTATATCAAACTAAAAAGCTCCTGCACAGCAAAGGAAACAATCAGGAGAGTGAGGAGAGAACCTACAAAATGGGAGAAAATGTCTGCAAACTATTTATCCCACAAGGGATTAATACTCAGAATATATAAGGAACTCAAACAACAATAGCAATAAAACAAATAATTCAATTTAAAAACGGACAAATGAGCACAATTCACAATTGCAAAGATGTGGAAACAACCCAAGTGCCCAGCAATACGTGAGTGGATTAATAAAATGTGGTGTATGTATTCCATGGAATACTACTCAACTATGAAAAACAGTGGTGATCTAGCACCTCTTATATTATCCTGAATAGAGCTTGAGCCCATCTTGCAAAGTGAGGTATTACAAAAATAGAAAAACAAGCACCACATGTACTTACCATCAAGTTGGTACTAACAGATCAACACTAAGGTGCTCGCATAGTAGTAATATTCAGTGGACGCTGGTCAGGTGGGGGGGTGGGTAAACTCACAACTAATGGAGACAGAGCGCACTGTATGGGGGAAGGGCATGCTTCTAGCCCTGGCTTGGGCGAGGCAAAGGCATTACATGTAACCAAAATGTTTGTACCTCCATAATATTCTGAAATAAAAAAAATGCGCAAATGATCTGAATAGATATTTCTCAAAAGAAGACATACAAATGGTCAGGTATATGAAAAAGGTATATGAAAAAGGTATATGAAAAACAGGTATATGAAACAGTCCTCAACATCGCTAATCATCAGGGAAATGCAAATCAAAACCACAACGAGGCCTGGTGCGGTGGCTCATGCCTGTAATCCTAGCACTCTGGGAGGCCGAGGCGGGTAGATTGTTTGAGCTCAGGAGTTCGAAACCAGCCTGAGCAAGAGCGAGACCCTGTCTCTACCAAAAATAGAAAGAAATTAATCGG